AAAAATGTACAGTCTTAGAAAACTTATGTGCCGTAATTGATTTGATAACAGTGGGTTTTTTTAGTTAACATACTCCAGTGGATGTTATTGTTGTTGTTGTTCAGTGTGGTCGAGACAATTCTAATTCATAGTGACCCTGTACATGGTTTCCAAGAAGAGACTGGTAGATTTGAACTATCAACCTTGCAGTTAGCAGTCAAGTGCTTATCCTAGAACGCCCCATCAGGATTCCTTCAGTGGATATTAAGAAAGTTTTATTTCCTTTTCAATTATTTGTTATCTGAGTCCTTGTCATGAATTGAATTATATCCGTCCAAAATATATGGTGTAAATAGCCTTGCTTCCTGGCTATTTTATAAATGTGGTTATAATCACATTTGGGAATGGGCTGTCTTTGTTACACTAATGAGGCAGGATGTATAGGATAATTTCTGAGTCAATCTCTTTTTATATATGTTGTTGTTGTTAGGTACCTTGGAGTCGGTTCCAACTCATAGCGACCCTGCACAGGGTTTCCGAGGCTGTAAATCTTTACGGGAGCAGAACGTCTCATCTTTCTCCCACAGAACAGCTGGTAGTTTCGAATTGCTGACCTTGTGGTTAGCAACCCGATTCGTAACCACTATGCTACCAGAGCTCCTTTTTATATATAAAAGAGATTCAACAAGTTAACAGAAAGGAGATGGGTAAGATAAATGTCAAGCTATCTGGAGATCTCCGAAGAAGTAGAAGCTAAAGAAACAAGGACCTTTCTCTAGTGTTGACAGAGAAGGCTTTCCGTCTAGTCCAGCACACTTAATTTGGATTTCTAGCCTGCTACATTGTGAGAAAATAAATTTCTGCTTGTTGAAGCCATCCACTAGTGGTATTTCTGTTTGTTACATTAGATACTAAGACATTTCTTGATATGATCATGGGAGAAAGGTAGTGATACAGAGACCCTGCTTTCTCATTTTTTATTTTTGTGGAAAACAATTTTTAAATTTATATATATTCAGTTAACTGCAGTACATTTCAGTGTAGTTTTTGGTTTTACAAATCAGAATGGCAGAATTTATCTCTTTTACAAAGCTAAAACTGATAGTAGAAATACAACACCAAGCTCAAATTTAATATGGATAAGTACTGAACATATAATCAGGAGGTTGGTGGTTCCAGTCATGCCTCAGAAACCCTACATAGGGTGACTATAAGTCAAAATCATCTTGATGGCACTAAACAACAATAAGGAATTTTATTTAGGTCATACAAGTCCACCAGGCACTCTGCAGGAAAAAGATGAGGCTTTCTGTTCCCATAGAGATGTACAGCCTCTCTATATAGGATCACTATGAGTTGTAACTTACTCCATGGCACACAGCCAGTCAGCCATCTTGAATTAG